GGTATTGCCTATGAACGTCGTGCAGAGGAAGATGTTTTTGGTGATGGATAGTTTTGGTTACTGTGTTGAGGAGTTTGGCTATTTTGATGCAGACAGACTTATTTCTCGGGTGGAGAATTTTGGAGTTTTGTTCGTTGCATTGAAATTTGAGTCAATATGGAGATTGTTAGATTTTGTGCCCCAAATTAGGGAGGATTTTTTGAAAAGTAATATTTCCTTATTTTCACGTGATTTTATTGAAAGAATATTATTTTTTTTAATTTCACATCATTTTTATATCATTTCCATCTTTATGGTATGATATTTACCTATAAATAGTGGCATCTTCATTCAATTTTATTTAAGCGAAAAATTGCTGTGTTGTAATTTTTTCTCTATATTGTTATAATAAAATATTGTTTTCTTTGCTTAACTTTAGTTTATTTCTTTACTTTTAACCTTGTTTCATTGTTGTGATCTTCGTTACTTCATATCGCTCCATTAAATCTCAGTTCTTACAACTCTTTGAAATCAACAAGTGGTATCAAAGCAATTATGATAATTTGTTTGTTCCCAACCGATTGTTATTTAAACTAACTTCTTAGATTCATTTATATGACAAAAGAGAAGTGTAAATACTTCAAAATTCTTGCGGTGGGATATATTCAAGAGGCTTTCTATTTTTAAAGAACATATTTTATAATTTAGTGAACATCTATAAATTTAAATATTAAAAATGTTTAACTACTCTAACATACTCTTTATATTTAATGCTTAATTTTACCAATCCTAAAAATATTTATTATTTTTCCCTATATTTTATTTTTCACTTTTCTCTCTCCAAGTTATAATATTATTTTCTGAAATTGAAAATTAAAATACTTTGAATGCATTCGATTATAAAGACTCTCTAAATTAAAATGTCAAATTCAAAAAGTCTTCTGAAGCATAATTTTAAGCATTGACTGCATTTATGTTTAAAAAGTCTTTTGAAATTGCCTTTATATATGGTGAATCGATGATCATCTTTGATAGACATTCAATATGTAACTTTTATTTAAAAAAGGCTTCACATTATCAATCGATAAACTAGTAAAATATTCATTTATTTATAAATTAATAATTATTATTAAGCGATAATTTTTCCAATTCCAACTTTTTTATTTTTGTTGGGAATTTACTTAAACATGCGCAGCAGAAATAAAAACAATTTCAATTCCCACCAGAATTCATCTTTATATTTAGATATGAATTGTTATAAAAATTATATATTTTCTTGGATCCGCCAACTCTTTTGCTTAATCTTTGCTCCAGCAACTTGGATCTGTCTCCCGCAACTGTCCAATTGTCCAACCTCCAATGAATTTCACACAGAGAACAGATTACAGCAACCAGTGTTTTCTCCTCTTGTGCTAGCAAGAATTATGAGATTCCTATGAATTGAAAACCCTAGCCATGTATTTATATAAACCCAAACGGGATTGGTCCGGTCCGGTCCAATATTTAATTAAATTCGGTCTGTGAATTAATTAATCCAATTAATTAATTCGGGCCTATAAATAACCAACCCAATTAATTAATTTATACAACGATTGTTAAATTAATTAATTGACAAATTGCAATATTCCAATTCTCTTTTGTGTGCAACCTATTAGGTTCCCGACCACGATATCTAACGACGTGAAATATTATTTTGATCTAATCAAAATTGATAAATTAAAACACCTTTTTAATTTATCATCAATTCACACTCGCCGTCCTAAATTGATATATAGCAATGTATCAGGTCAACACATATGACGGAAAATGTCACGTGGTATGACAAAACCAAATCTGTTTGTTTACCATGAAATTATAATCCCTTTGTCAGTATGATCGTATCAATTATGAGATATGAAAGTGTGTCAATCTCAATTATCGATCATATCTTTCATTCTACTATTAAGTCAATATGAGTCGGAAACTCCTTTTTAACTTATTAGTATACCTTGACCAAGGATTTCGTCATCGACTTAATTGAACGAAATGCAGATCACAATTTCTTACTATCTAAAAGTGACGAATCCTCTATTGGTCATTCACAACTTTTATATGGCTCTTGACATACCCGAACGATGTCGTATTAACGGCCCTTCGCAAAGCAACATCCAACACCGTCGGAGTATGACTGTTTTTATATAAAGCACTATGATGACCTCAAGTCAAAGGACCATTCCACTACCGAACATTAGAAATTAACCACTGACACTAAAATAGTTATTCATGTGGAATCTCTTAACGGGTCTCCAATGTTTCGTTCTATAACAAAACATCTATACGTTCATTTAAGTGTCAACACACTTTAGCTTGTGAGATCAGCCACTTACTTTACAAGTAAAAAATGCCGTACGTGATAGTATATCCGTAATTACGATATCCGTTTCTCGTTATTATTTACGATCATGGATGATTCAAGATCCAATCATATGTAATTTGCATCACACAATCACAACTCCCTGTGATTAACAAATCACTTAGACTTGAATATTCGGACTCTATTATTTAATATTATTTATTAGAATATTAATTTAAATAAATAATAGATCTTGCCAAAAATAAATGTATTAAATATATTAAAAGTATTTACAATTTAAATCGATTGGATTTGAAGCATAACACTTACAATTTTATGGTGATAGTACTGAATTTTTTTCTTGTCCATATTTTCGTTTTATCCAAATAATCTGGACTCTGTAATTTCAAATTTTCATGTGAGCTATTGAACTGTACACGGTCCCCACCCCCACTGCACGTGTAAAGATTTATAAAGGTCCAGAAATTTGTAATTCAAATTCAAACTGAGACACCAACTTAGGTGGGCTAGACATACTAGGCATATAAAATGAAGGATTAATATCAAAGGGGCCTGCTAAGCCTCTCACTGTAACAGGTGAACTACACATGTACTAAAAAATAAAAAAAACATTGCAGCGGTCCCCACTGTGCGTATCCTAACAAGAACCTGTTTTCTACGTCAAGCAGGATTGTAAAATGAAATGAAATGAGCTCTGCTATTTAATTTTGCCATTCAAATCACTGTCCGTCCAATACATTAATAACATGTCATTAATTTAATTAGTTAGTGGTGAAATTAATGAAAGTAAATTTGAGATGAAATATTAATTATTGATGATATCAATAATTCATTGAATTGAATGGACAACCATTTAAACAGCAAAAATCCCAACTCATATAAAATACGCTGTTCTTATCCGTTTGATTATCTCTGTCTCTCGCATAGTTTTCAATGGATAGCCAGCTCACGAAACACATTCATTTCTGCAATTTACTCACTTGAATTCTCAAATAAAGAGTTTCTTGAAATTGGTAGAATAAATAGCTTTAAACACTTGCCGCAATCGACCAATTTTGAGCTGAATAACTGTTTTATCTTTCGGGTCAAAATCAAACCACGAAAGATGAACAAGAAAAGAAGAAAACCGATAAACAAATAAGACACTCCTCAATATTTCTTCACCATTGGGTTTAAGTAATTGTTCAAACGATCAAATATGCCGATATCTCATGAAAGATGGCAAGAAACTGCTATCCGAGGTAGAGAAACGAGTCCCATACAGCAGCAATGGCAAAAAGAGTCGGCACGAAAATCTGCCCTCTAAAAGTAGATAGCAAACCCGGAGAACCACTCCTTTCCGGCAAAGACGATGGTGGGGGCGGTAGTTTTTCAACGTGAATTGCTACTTTCATGCCTCCATAGCAGAATCCTTTTCCGCTGATGAAATAATAAGTTTTTGTAACATTGAGAGGAACCACATCCCTTCCAGCACCGGTGGTCCAATTGTGAATGGGATGATCAGAAGTGCAATTCTCGTAATCTGTCTTGTTTACCTCAAGCACATTCATCTGGTTCCTATCATACACGAAGACTAGAACGAAAAGGCGAGTTACTAGATGCTAAACACAATGTTCAAGCCTATGTGAAGAAAAAAAAGCTCGAAAGTCTTCCCAATCTAAACTAGCAGACATGGCCAAACCGATCAAAAAGAAAAACAAGACATATACAAGTAGTGCAAATTTATAATAAAAGAACAAAAGTAACCTGAAGTGCCATAAGAAAGACATATCTTAACAATGACTAGTGTTGAACTATGGAGCAAATACTGATGCACATATAAAGAATTTTCTTAGGGTGCATTTTTCTGAGAGACACGCTAAAAGGTGTGAGATCACCACTGTAATAATCTTCTTCTTTATAGTGAAAACTTGTAGCGGGCAAATGAATATAGCTGTCAAATGTGTTTGAGTGCCTTTTTTTTTTATTGTTATATCTTTAGTAATTAGATTGGGAATTAATCATTTTGTTAAACTAACATGTCTAATGAGTCCAAAATTAACCATGGATAGCCAATTGTTCGACGGTGTAATATTTCTTGTGTTAGATGACAGCCCAATATTTAGTCTTTTACATTATGTGAGTGTGACATACTATTTAAAGAATTAACGTGCACAAGTTAGATAATCCTAAACAGTGATTATAAAACAAAATAATAATGTTGTCTAGCATCATTGGTCCTAAAGAACCACTCTAGGCAAGAACAGTTAATATGTTTGATTAAATGAATCGTGTGACATTGCATTTAAGTGTACCCATCATTTAATGTTGTGTAGTTGTCACCTACACCGATGCTGGAAAACTAGTAATGCTGAATCCCATTACTCAATAAAAGAATTATGGGCTCAGTAAACTTTATTGAGTCTGCACATCATCGAAAATAATCTCAAATAGACTGCAAAATTGCCTTAAAGAAGGATCGGTAATTTCTAAAGAAACAGTGACCAATAGGGAAATGGAATCAGATGTAAATTAAGTTTGCATTTCTTCGTCTTCCCTCATTTACAAGCACTAAAAAACTAAGTTGTTCGTATTATGTATCTATTCAGTTACACATAATTAAATGATTAACACTCTGCTGCACTAATCTCATTTAATTCGCTGCAATTTCATAGTGTTAATAGGTGTTAAATTTCTATAGCCTATAGGCAGGGCATCTATTCACCTTTTTCGACAAAACCAACCGGAAAAATGTTTAAGAAAAGCTCAAAAATGTAGATCTGAACTGAATGTGTGCGCGTATGTGTGAGAGAGAGAGAGAGAGAGAGAGAGTATACAGAGCCAATCGCCGAGATAGAAATGTTTGCCTTGAGCCCAAATGGTGTAGTTCACATTTGAATTCCACCCCATGTTAGCTCCGACGATGTAACGCACTGCAGACACCTCCGCCGGCATCATCACCAGCACTGCGCATGTCAAAACAAACGCCGCCGCGGACCACCCTATGCTCCGGCTCAGACCCTCCATCTCTCGCTGTCTGTCTTTTATAATCTGCTCTGAAATCTGGACTCTCTCTCTCTCTCGAGTAGAGCATAAATTATAGCAACTCAGAGGCCAGATGTATTTGAGTTTCATGATTTTTGTACAGCACTTTTTAATGCTTTATCAATGTGTGGGCTCACAAACTTTTACGAGGCTATATTTTTGTGTTTTCGAAAATTCAAAACGTAAGGGGTTGTTCTCTTTGTGTTTCAGTTTTGTGTTTTGAGTTTTGAATTCATTTTGAGTTTTGTTTTTTGAGTGTTTGTTTTGAAATTGTTGAAAATGCGATCTTTTTGTTAGTTTCTCAAAACAAAAAAAAATAACTTTTTTTTTAAATTTTGAGAATCACCACAACACCACCTCAAAACACCAAAAAAAAAAAAATTTAATTTTTATTTTTTTTTTAAATTTTGAGAATCACCACACTATCTCCTAAAAAAAAAAAAAAAAAATTTAATTTTTAATTTTTTTTGAAATTTTGAGAATCACCACACCCCCCCCCCGAAAAAAAAAAAAAAGTGTTTCCCGCGTTTTCGATTTTTCCAAGTTTTACACTGAAAACGCCCAAAACGACAAAAAAGT